GGTGAATAGTAAAACCGTTCTTCACGGAGAATTATAGATAAAACGACTTGGATAAAAACCTCAGCTGTTAAGGAAGAAGCAAGCACAACAGCGCACGGGGCTGGTTTCCACACGCAAGAGTCCATTTTAGGCAGCATCTCTACACTGGATGAGATGAAACGAGCCCTCCCGTGCCTCCATCAGGACCAAAGGGTGCTCGGTACTCAAGCGAACAACGACAACATACCGTAACACTGATGTGCGCACAATGGTACAATTACACGGCCCTTTATTAACGTCTTCGATTCCATCGTTGTTCTTACAATCGGCATTGTTACGCAGGCACCCGACAAACAAACAAAACCCGCGCTTGAACACAAAAATATCACAAATATCACTATCAGAACAGAGCCAGTCATGTTGGCTTCAACTAATCAATGTATGTTCGTAATGTACTCACGTCTCAAGACCAGCGGGCGCGATAACGGGTCTAGAAATCCTTCACTGTAATGTCTGTCGACGCCAAATGATGCTCTCTTCTTTATTTCGCTCTTCCCTTCTCCAAATGTCCAAACGTGAAAGTAAAAATCGTGATAAAAAAATTCTGTGTTTCACAGTCGATGAATGGACGCCCGGTCCCCGCGTACGTATTTGTGAGCGGCGCTTTATCCAGACCTAAGCGTGACACGTGACTTATTACAAACATAAATGACGTCACGCGTGATGTTTTAGGCAACCAGGAAGTGTTTGTTATTGCGTCCAAATGTGATGAAAGCGTTGATGTTGATACAATAATCAAAAACCAATCGAAAACCCACAGAAAAGAGGTTATTATTGTGATTCACACGATATTCTACTCAACCCTCAAAGCATATCCAGCACATATATTTTGGACGCTCTTTGCTTTTCACATTTCTCAATTGATTCAAACAATTCCACACAAAAACTCAGAAAGTCAAAACGTCCCCCTATTTTTCCTACATTATTCCAAATTAAAATTGTTAAGATCATTTGGAGCATTCTGAGAGCTACATTCCAAATTACAAGAGTTCTCATATTCTGCACTTTTCGCAATAAAATCCGCATACTGAAGAGATATTAAATTATATTAATCTTTGACTTCTCTTTTACCAATTCTTTGTCGATTCAAACCATTTCAACTTCAATTACTCAGCTCATTCACGAAATATCTATGACACGCTCCAAATTGTCATTCCCCAATAAATTCACACATTAAGATACATTTACATATTTACTTCCGCCCACATTTCTTGACCGATTAAATTCAAAGCATTCCAACTTCAGATCTCACATTCGAAATCTCAGCAATTCAAGTATTTTTACGGCATTTCAATTCATCTTTCACTGGGAGTTCCTACAGTCATGTAAAATTTAAAAGTCTCAAAGGACTACATATGCCCACAGTACACAAAGATTAACGAAAATACCTTGCATTTTGTAGTTATTCTTGACACTATAAAATCATGCATACGCCTGATCATCCTTTCATTCGCGTTTCTATTTTTTTGTGGGGGGGGGCGGGGTATATACAGTAATTTGCTATTGTATTTCATGTTTGTTTGAAGAATAACGAATTTTACCTGATCTGTTATTATTCAAATTTACTACACGTATGGACAATAACTCTTGAGATTTTCCTGAAATTGGGATTCGGCTCTACCACTTATTTGGTGGGAAGAAGTTGAGAGTCTTGACCTCCAACTCACAAAACACCTTTGGGATCCACTTAAATAGAGGTTGTGAGGCAGACCCTCTCTCAGAGGTCTCCCACATCTCACCCCACAAAATTCATTTTGTCCGCTTCCTGTACGTGTAATGTCTTCATGTAGTATCACTGCGTAATCACAAACTGTCAAAAGGCCTGATAACTTTGCAGTATATTTCACAGTATGATTGCAGCTTTCTTTATTGGGGCGCCATCTTTTGGATTGATGGTGCAATTACTACTACTCCGATGACATGGGGTCCTCGGTTTACGACGAATTCGTACGTAAAGCACAGCTAACGCTTGGATTAAAACCACTTCAATGCCATAAATATAAAAGACTCAAATGTAAAACAGCAAGTACGGCGGCCAGTGACCATTGTGCTGCGTGAAAATACACATCGTGAGTTTGTAAAGACGTCAATCGAGAACCCTCGCAACTGTCGACACATTAACCGGTTGCGCGTGATCAGATTTATGTTCCATCTTCCCTTACGATAGCTAGATGTATTTTTTTACTAATGACTACAATACTTAAATAGTTATGAAAGCATTAAGATCATACAAATAGTAATTTGGTGTAATAGTACTACTGGGGTGGAAACTAATATCTTTCCTGTATGTAGACTAGTATATATTGACCATTTCTATTTTTGACTGGGGGAAATTCACTGAATTGTTTGTCGGTGACGGCTTGATTGTCACCTTGCGGCCAATGTGTGCAGTTAAAGTATTTGTCTATAATTCAATGAGCATTTACTGGGATTGGTTTAATGGAAATTGTTTTAATTATGGGGTTTGCCAAATAAACATCACTGAATACAACGAAGAGTTGAAACCTCATCAAACAGGACAACAGATAATGGCTGCAGGATTTAATTAATACTCAATCCACTGTTAGTTTCGACTGCACTTTGTCCTGTTGAGTGAAGTAGAGAGTCTAGTGATTAAAAAACACTCTTGCACTAGATGGTGGTTTATCCCGAACTAAGTTCATTCATCCCTTAACATGCTAGATTAATTTGTTCTGTGACCATTTTCTTAACTCAAAATACTTCTATCCCAAATCATCTTTCCCCAGTGAATTGAATGGACATGCCTTTTGAAGCATACGCATTTTGCAATGTATTTTGTAGTCTGTAAATCTGTCTATATTGTACCTGATAAAATCGTACCGAACAGACAATTACATAAACAGAGTGGAAAGTATAAAACAGTTTCTTCCCGACATTTTT